AAGCTGGGTAAGAGCCAAAAGCAGGAAACAAAGCATCAAAAAATGGGATGACGGCAACAAGAGGGTAATCAAAAAAAGCACTGACCATCTGATAGAGTGTCTGTCAAGCAAGGGCTTGTAATGGGACACACAGAGCTGGAGGCAAAAAAACTATTTGCAGAGCATGCAAAGCTCTGCTGTTATTTTGCATGAGGGAGATCAATAACATCAACAGTGAAGTTGTGATTTTCCTCCCTGCCATGGTTCTCATATGCTGTTGTATTTCTTTTTCTTTGTAGAGCAAGAAGAGAGTTGTGAGTCTGGAAAGGAACAGGCAACTAATTAATTATCTGTAGTGGGTTACCACAAGGTGGAAGTGCTTACAAGTCCCTCTGTGAAATAAGGGAAGAGCTAAGATGACCATACTGATGCAACAGGGGAGAACAACACTTGAAGTAACTGAGTATTTCCATGGAGCATCTGGAGTCCCATTAACAGTTAAAAGGGTCCTGATTCAGCAAAGTACTTGCTAAATTTTCAGCCTCTTTTGTGGGATATAGCCAAAGAAGTTCAGAAAAGGGTAGCTGGGACATTTAAACCACTTTTGCTCAGAGTCCTGAAGATCTAATCACACATGGGGGAGTTTTAAGTCAAGTAACTCAGGCATTAAGGAGCTAAAAGAAAGTGTAAGCCAGAACAGATCACACCTCATGTTAGTCTGCACAGTATCCTGACTCCTCAGTACTTATATGGAACCAATTTAGACTTCTCCAGACATTAGCAAAGCAAGTGTAAATAACGTGAACAGCCTTGAGACTGTCAGTGGATCACACGTATGCATCCCCTCTGAATTGGAAGTTGGTAGAGTTTAAGTTGGTCTGCACACAGGCAGGGAAGCAAATCTGAGCTACTCAGGCTGATTTTGCTTTTTACAGAATCCCAGAATTGCCTTGATTGGAAAAGACCTTTAAGATCATCAAGTCCAATCATGAACCCAACACTGACAAGTCCCCGACTAACCCATGTCCCTCAGCACTATGTCTACATGACTCTTCAATCCCTCCAGGGATGGGGACTCTACCACTGCCCTGGGCAACCCCTTCCAATGCCTCAGAACCCTTTCAGCAAAGAAATTCTTCCTCACATCCCATCTCAACTGCCCTTGGTGCAACTTGAGGCCATTTCCTCTTGTCCTGTCCCTTGTTCCTTGGTTGAACAGACCCACCCCCACCTCTCTCCACCCTCCTTTCAGGGAGTTCCTTTTGATTTCTCAGTGGCCCTGCACAGCCAAGCTTGCCCAAGCTCAACAATAACAGCTGCTAGAAGACACTTTCTGACTCTGTAGATGCTGTTTTCAGGCTCTCAGATGTTTCTTGCTTCTACTGAGCAGCTTTTTGGCCAACATCTTTGTCTCAGATGTGTTGATTCCTCACCCTACTATGCTGCTCCACTTATACAAGACTGCTCTAAATAAAGCAGTGCTATCAGGCAGAGGTGAATCCACAAGACACTTTCCAGAGAAGTGTTTCTATTAGAAATTTCAGAAAGTGCCACCAATGTAATTTACAAAAAGGTTAAGTTATTATTGAGAGACCTTGATTGTCCATTCCTTTACAATGTCTTGCAGTGTAATTCAGAGGAATGAGATATAAAAATGCTATTAAAAGATGAAAACTTTCCCTGAATAACCTTTTTTCCCCCCCTCCACCTGAATTGCCTTTATTATGCAGATGTATAATTTCTGGCAGGCATTATGATGCTGTATTCTCCCCCGGTTTATGTGCAGTGGCATGTAACAGACACACATTTTGACACCACCTAACACTTTAGTGACGATGATTCCACATCCTTTTAGAAAACAGGCTAAACTGCCATCTCCTGCCCTCAAAATCAGTGCTAATGTTCCTGAGTGGATTTAGTTATAGCTATGTCAGATTCCAAAACTGGATGATGGACAGCCTCACAATTTATGAAATTAACTGTCTGTTATCAAACTGAGGATACAGATGCTTTTTTTCCCATTTTTTCTCCAGTTTTCTCTAGTATAATGAAGGTCAAATCATTCCAGACAAGCACTGCACAGTAATTGCAGTTCATACTGTCATATGGAGCCTGCAATGATTTTACTGGCTCTGAAAATTCAGTCTGTTGGAACAGAGCAGATACACTTGGAAAACCAGCACCCTTTCCATTCAACATTTTTCTTGCTGAAGTAAAAGCTACGGTCCTTTACTCAGGTGAGTCCTTACTCATGGGAGAGGTTTGCCTGAGGAATGACAGCACAGTTTGGCTTTATGAATTTATCATTATGATCATCATTATCAATTTTGTGCTTTCTACTATTATCCCTGATCATTAATTAATGCTTAATGTATTTTCCCAGCAGTTCTATCACCCTCGCAGCATCTCTGGGGAAATGTCACTCTCCTCAGTTTTACACGGTGAGCAGCTGAAGCATGAGCCAGAGCTGGGTCAGAATTAGCACATCAATCAGAATTCAGGAGTTTCAGGCTGCTGGTCCTGTTCTCAGATCACTGGATCCTACTTCTTCCTGCATCACAGCTATACTTTTCAAACACACACTCACCGTACGCCCGGTGCCCGTGCAATAGGAAAGGGAGATTTTGCTATGTACTCCTGCCACAAAAATCAAATTAAATGGCAGCTTGCCTCTGACAGTCAACACAACTCCTCTGCAGGTTCCTCACCCCACACAGAAAGATCTAAGGCTCCCATCACGCGTGACTTGATTTATTTGTTTGGCATTGCAATTTTACACCCTGGTTCATAAACACTGTGTCAGGCTGCTGTAGCCTTTTCACTCTGGCACCAACAAAAATTTGTAACACTACAGTACTATGGTATTTATAGACTTAAAATCTAGCAATCATGTCTTGCCAGACCTCATGAATAGACTAGAAAGGTTCAGAAGCATTACAGTACATTTGTATGAACCACCTGACTTGATTTTTCTTTTTTTAAAACAAGCTGTTGAAATTTAGACTAAGAAGAAAGGTACCAACTTGTTAAGGCTATTATATATTTTTTTTTATGGTACTTATAAAAATGCTGCACTTCTCTGGCCAAATTCTAGCCAAGAAGTCACATCTTCCAATCTAAAATTTTTATTTATCATCTCAAGTGAGTTTCAAAGTACATAGCTTGTACCTAAACATCTTTTCCTGTACACTATAGCTTTGTGTTGACATATAGCTGCCAGTGGGCAAAGTGATTCCCACAGATGGGGCAAAGCTTTCTCTTGTGTAGCAAAAGAAATCGTCCTTGTACTGAAAGACAGGAGGGATAAACAAGGTCAACAGGGGATATATAGAATATATCGTGGTTATATATCATGGACTGTTCTGTTTATCATGTGGTCATGAAGGTACAGTGCAATAAAAAACAGGATTGCCCTAAGGACAGTCTGACATGCTGCTCACCCACACTGTTCCCCCACTGTTCAAAGGCAAATTAATAATGTTTTGCCCTTTTTTTTTATATATATATATATTTTTTTCTCCCTATGTTAGTGCAATGAGGCCAAGAGAAAAGTCTGGCCAGAACACTTAGCATCACTTTGAAAACAAGAACAACTTGTGACTGTGCTTTAAAAGTGTTTTCTGCTGTGAGAGCCTTAGCAATTTTCCTGTGATGAGAATTTTAAAGTGAAGAAATTCTTTAGACAAGGAAAATAAAATCGCTTTCAGAAAAGTACCTAGAGGTTATTCTGGGCAGAAAGTGGTCAGTGTTAAGTAAAAGCTCAAATTACTAAAGTAAACTAAATGAAAGCAAATCTGCATTCTATAGAGCAAGATTTCAACTTCATAAGCTAATGTGCAACTATTTCTGCTGTAGCTTAACTGTGAACAGGACTGAACATGTGCATTTCCAGGTTTTAAACTGAACACAGTGTATTATAGCAGCATTTCCACTTCTGCAGTAGATAAACTTTAGTGCTAAAATGGAATATTTGGATCTTAATGACTTTGCTTTAATAAGACCTAAACTTTTAATTAACCTGCCAAGACAAATTACAGCCCGTAGCTCTTAGGTAACTATTGCAGACAGCTGAGACTCAACACCAATGCCTCTTCTGGGAGAGGGATTAATGGCAGCTTTGGAATGAGTCTGCTTTTTTCAGCAAAGAAAAAAAAATCCATTAAACAATCACTGTGGCTAGAAAAAAGCTGAGTGCTAGTTTTATGGACCAATCTTTAAATCACATCCAAACGAACAGTTTCAGCAGGTCAGTCAAATTTAAAATTAAATATTATTGAATCAGAAATAGATTCTGATATTTACAGCTTGGAGGAAGAATACCCAGTGTGCTAGGCTGTCAGGTAGCCCACAGGCAGCATCCTTTCCTCCTTGGACAACAACAAATCAGTGCCTGTGCGCTGAGCTGACAGGGCACTTGGCTGCCAGAGAAGCTGAGAGACCCGTTTAGTTAATTTTTTCTTCTTAAGAAATCTGAGCTTCCTTCTGTCAGCGAGGAGAAACAGAGATTCCTGTTATCGTGGTTCCTACTACCAAGCCTTGCTGTGCTCTTTACTGGAGTCTTAACCCCAGTACTCTGCCTGAACTCCAGCTTGAGTAATTTTGATGGTGCTCAAAGGCAGGACTGTGTCACACAAACCTGTTGCATGGTGTTGCTGTCTGCTCTTCAGTCATTCCTATACCTCTGCTTCAGAATGAGAACAAAAAACAACCAACCAACCAAAAAAAAAAAAACCCCTAAATAAAAAGAAGATCAAAGAAATAAAATGAAGCAGGGAATTTCAAGCCTGTAATACATCTTTGGCACTGGGTTGAATGTCTTTAAGGATACAGTTACTAAAAAGTCCTACAAAATAGTTATGAGATATTTAGGGCCTAACAGTATTCATCTCATTGCTAAATACAATCCCCTACCAGCATTCTCTCTGAAACCACACAAAAGCACCGTGCAATTTGAGTATGTGCGTTAATATCTGGCCTCAAGGCATATTTAGGAGTTTAAGAATAATACAGGAAATCCTTACCAATAGCAGTAGTAAGAAAAGAAACCACTTCTGATTCCTTGCCATCATTGTAGAAGGCTAAATGCCATATTCCTGAATCTAAATACTGGATGAATCCTGTCTCATGGCTGGACAAGGGCATAAAAGTTCTATGTTGCCGCTGAGGTCCTTCTAAGCTTCTCGCCTCTTGTGTCAGTAGACGTCTTCCATCAAGGAGCTCGACAAAGTCAAACTGAAACATAAAAAAGAATGATGTTTGTGTGCATTTCAGGCTTCCTCAAGCTTAATGTCTTGCTCTGGATCTACAGAAGCATCATAAACAGGATTTTCTCTGGTAAACTTGAGTGTGTTGCTGGACTCCCTGTAAGTAACCATTGTGGAAATAGCTCGTATATGAATGTATTTTTCTGTAATTACATGAATGAGGAAATCATCTTTCTTTAGAATGTGACTTGGGGCATATTGACCCTACTGCTGCATTTTCATTCTGTAGAAGCAAAAACATGGTGAACATGAGGTCCAGGAACCATGCCTAAATTGCACTGTAAATACAATGGTAAGAAGCTTATTTGTTACCTTCTTTGTGTCTTGGCTAATAAGGAAAATAGACAGAAAAATGGATCATCTGGCCCAACCAGGTTGTGTGACAGAATTGCTATAGGTCACCCATGAAAGGATAAGAGATATTTGTAAATAAATCCTGGTAGATGTTTTGCAGAAGTATTTTGCTTAGCCAGCAAGGGTTTTCTCTTAAAGCAATAGCAAAAGTGGTTAAAAGATCATAGAAGATGAAGATGGAAAAGAGATGGTAAAGTAACATATAAAAGTCCCATTTAGGGGGTGGCTTTTGGAAATTTTCCTCAAAAGGACATTTATTTTTTTGCCAGAGTAACTTCAGCTGAACAACTGCTTTGACTTTGCTACTAGGATTGTAACTACCTTCAGTTTCCTATTTAAATAATTTTCCACTGACTTTCTGCAATAATTGTATTTTGTCTGGTAATATTTTAAAGCGATGGGTCAGATACAAGCCTATCAGACCTCACAAATATTAAGTGAACCTTATCTAATCTGACTTTTATAATCTGTTTAGGTGAACAGGTCATCTTGAGAGCAGAATACAGCAGCTGAGGCACAGCTTAGCTTTTCTATTCCCTGACTTCACTTGGTTTTGCCTCTCTCACCCAGTTGGTCAAATAAGCTTGTAGTTTTTGGCAGGAAGGAGGAAAACAGGCAGAAAGAAACAACATCACTTATTTTTGCACCAGTAAATGTTGCTGCACTGAATGGTTTCTAAGTGCTGGCTGAGTGTGGCAACAATATTTAGTCTTCTTATTCCTTTTGACTTTACAGTAACAAAATTTGGGTGTTTCTGTTATATTATGAAGTGGTCTGCTATGGTCTTCAAAGTCAACCAAGATGAAGACTTCATGACATGTTCTTTACTCTGCAGTGATTGCTAAGTTAAAAATAAAATATTAAAAGTGTTTATTTCCAACAACATTTGAGAAATAAGCTACATATGACAGCTTGCTCATGAAATGATAAAACTTGCCCTTAGAGTATTTTAATTACTGTATTTTAATTATTTATTTACATTAAATAAGTTTTGAGCCTTGCTTTAATTTTTTTTTGCTATATTTCAATATATAGATCTCCCCAATTCAGTGCTGAAGTGTCTTTTGAGAATGTAAAAGGGCATTCCTTTTGGGTTTCTATCCATGTTAGCTTTGTCAGAGACAGAGTTTCTGTTTTGAAAAAAATAAATAAATAATGCAAATACAAATTATAAAAATATACAATATAAAAATAGAAAATCTAAAAATAGAATTTAAACATAAAATCTAAAAATAAATTATTGAAAATGTAAGTTTCTGTTTTTTTTAAAAAATACAGGGATTTAGTGATTTTGAGTTTTAAGAGGATACTAGTGAGAGGTTGCTTTGAATGACACTTTTTGAGCCAGATATTTGTAGGCACTCTGAGGATGAGTTATTGCCCAGGCTGATTCCTCATCAGGTCTCAACGTGGTCATGACTGACACAGCTGAGAAGGGCAGTGACAGAGGATGTCACGGTGCTGTCTGGTTGCTGTGAATGTCTCAATGAAGTTGAGTTTGACTGAGGAACACATTGGCCAGGTGTAGTGAAAAAGTTAAAATGAGTAAGAGAAAAAACCTATATATTTCCATTTCCATTTTGGAGCATGATGGAACACATTGTCTACATTTTTAAAAGGTAACTGCAGACAGCATAGGTAAAGTTCATCTCACTAAGGCTGACCTCTCCATAGGAGCTTGAATTAGTTTTCTAGAACCACTGGATTGCAGTCAAAGAGACACTTTTTAGAATGCAATCTGCATCATCCTAAAGCTGACATCTAAGAAATATCCCATGGATTGTGAATTACGATCATTCATTTCTTCCTACATACTACATGTAGCTGCTTAAAGCTTAGTGAGATGAAAACAATTTCAAGGCATCCAGCTACGGCCAGATGTTGTCCAATCTGGGTTATACTTGGAGCTTCCTGACAAAAGTAGAAGTTTATTTTTCTAAATAACTTTTTAAAATTATTTTTCTAATAAAGTTATTTTTCTAAATAACTTTCTAAATAATAAACTTTATTTTATTTGCAAGAAGCTGCTGTGGATCTTGGTGACTTTGCAAAGTTACTAGTTACTAGTTGTAAATATTAATTGAACCACAAATGGATTGTGCATTATTGCATTTTAATACATTCAGAGATTTTTAATAATGCAATCAGAGTTATTGAAAGTGAGGAAATCATAGATAAAATGCCATGTTAACCAAATCAAATTATACAAATGGAAAAATGCCTCCCACAAGCTGTGATGGCAATCCCTAAAATTTATGATTTAACAAAATTTGACCTAGGTTAAAAAGAGTTTAAAAAAATGATTTGATCTAGGAAGATTAAATCTAATAGACGATAATAAAATTGAGTAACTTTTATTATGATTTGTTGAGAAGAATTAAAAGAAATGCCTTTAGTTAACAGTAAACTATTTTAGGCTTCTGTAGGCTCTATTTCTAAGACTACCAAAATTTGGAGCTTCTACTTTCTTCCTACTTATTATTGTCCATGATTGTTGGTAACCTCAACTAGAAGACAGATGATCATAGGTAGAGAAAGTTTCCCAAAGAGAATCTGGATTAGTTTGTTGTTTTAGCATGGATAAATATGAGCTTTAGCATTTTACCAAATTCAGGAATATATGCTAAGGTTTTACAACCTTGAGATCAATTCAAAGGTCCTGAAAGAGAATAGACTCTGTTAAAACTCACACTACAGAAGATAGATTATCTAAACAGAAGAAATATCTAATTATCTAACTGTTTTGCTGAATATTTTGCCAATTAACAGGGGCTGACAGAAAGGACACCAGCACCAACCAAAAGAGTAAGTTCATTTTACTGATTATCTTAAAATCATACAGAAAGGAAATAATGCAGTGAGCAATCAGAGTAAGTGAAGTATATTGCTAAGCAACAACATACTTAGGCAACACATCTAATCATTACTACATAAAGTTAGCAATAGTGATTAAGAAAGATACCTCACCATCTGTCCTATTTATCATCATCCAGACCCACAGTTGCTGGAGCATCCCAGATCAGCGAGGGTTTGGAGAACCTCTCCCAGGCAATTGGGAAGTGTATCCACCCTCAGATGAGGCCACCAAAGAGTCACTGAACAGGGGTCCAGCTTTATAGTCCTCACTTATCAAACTCCACGAGTCAGGATGACTTGCATTTTCCTTTGTGTGGAAATACCTGACACATCATCCGCCAGGTTGGATTGTGCTCAAAGTCTGGCCAGTCCCTGGGGAGGAATCCAAGGGAGTACCACTGTCCTTGCAGTTTTAGCCATGTATTTCTCAACTGAGATCTGTCCAGTCTCAGTACTTATTTCAGTCCTAACCAAGGATGTTTGCTGATTACACATATTATTACTTTTGTGGATGGCTGCTAAAAGTTGTTGATTGCTCTTGCACTATAAATGTTATAACAAATAGAGTCTTTACAGGGTCTGTCTAGAGGTCAACAATTAGCTTAGGCCCGTTACCCAGGCCTTGGCATATCACTAACATAGAAGAAAACCTGATTATTAGCTGGAATTTTGCTACTGCCATCAACTAGATAGGCTGGGGAAAAATAATTGAGCCTTTATTAAATTCTCCTGGAGGAGACTGTATCACTGCTCTGAGCACATATTTTGCCAAAACCTTGTTTATAAAATTCCTTACAAACTTTGGAGATATAAAACTCATTGAGTATATTTATGGGGTGCAGCAGATACTCTGGATTATGCAAAAGAAAAGATGAGATTTGTGTAATAGGTACTAACTATGAGAGACACGTTTACAATTTCAGCACAGAAAACAGGTTACTTACTGACTTCTAAGACTCCTAAGACTAATAAACTATGGTGAGATGAAACATCATATAAAAATATACAGAAGGAGGACAATGTTTTAATTGACAGCAGGTTTATAAGATAATAAATCTAGGAAAAGGGATAAATTTCAAAAAAATAAATATTAACAAGTAATAAATCAATATTGATTCAATATCTGCAGCTTCATTAAGTTATTTCTCCAGAACAGGGTGGGTTTTGTGATCTGCTTCTATTAGTGCACCATGATTTTTATTTTTTGCATAAAAATGTTGTTCTGGTCATTTTTGTTGGTCCAAAAATGGTTATTTATTGAATGATTATTTTTTTATATACTAGACAGCTCTCAAATAGTGGCTACACAAAAAGCAGCACTTACAAGGATTCTGAGCAACTGCATTGCCTCCTCCAGCATGTAATATGGACAAACATGTGCCACATCCCACATTCAACATCTCATTCTCAGATGAGGTTTCAACTGATACACAACCATGTTGTTTTAAATGGGAAAGGTCCCGACACTGACAAATCATTCAGAGTATCCCAGCAAAAATTAGGTTAAAGAAAAAAACAGCAGCACTGGTGGTCACTGTGGGGTTCTTAGTTGCTTAAAAGATTACTAGGGTTGGGTACAGTGCCCTGCTACATTTAAAGATTTTGCTTTCATTTCAATAGACTTGAGGTTTAGGTGTTATATTTTACATTTGTTATTTAAACATTTGAAACTATTCATGGAATAACTCCTGTTCCATAACAGAAATTAATAATGATAATAAACAATACAGACTTCTGATCTAGAGCTAGTATTATGTGACCATGACTTGAGTTTTTATTTAAATAATACAGGTTTTCTGTTTCAAATGTTTGACTCTCCCTATAAAGAGAGACTGATTAAAAATGGGCCATAACAACACTTCTGTGTCACTGAATTTATAACCTGCTGATCCTATTGAAATATATGAATTCTTCAGAAATTAGGCAGAGAAAGAATAGATTTATGTCACCTTTTTGACATAAATAAGTTGCAGGTGTTTTAACATGTAGAAAATACCATATTGCCCAGAAAGATTGTAATAAACTTATTTGTTTATTCAAAAAGAAAATAAAGGCATGGTAATTCTGTAAATCTCAAAGAGTTGTGTTGGCTTTTCTGTTAATAGTGGAGGGTAAGGGTAAGTTACAACATTAATATAAACCCGGTAATACTTTGATAACTTGCTGATTCAAATGGGAGTAAGATGCTTTGCATTGCCAATCAGAGTTATACCCTGATGTATTAATCAATCTGCTTAAAAGCAGCTTAGAAACTGAAATGGAGAGTTGAGAAAATAATGTGCAAAATCTTTATGTAAGGGGATAGTTCTTTGGAGCTTTCCCCAGAAAGTGATGTCTTGCTGTGCCTTTTGTCCACTGTGTCAAGAAAAGCCACCACTAAAATTGAAGTGATTTTAGTCCTACAGAATAATAACTGTACCTTGATTTTTCCTTAAGTAAGCCAGTGGCTTTCTGTAAAAACTTGATTTTGTTTGGTTATACACCAATTGCTGGGCTGTGAACAATTTCAGTTTAATCTGACAGTGAACTTGCATAATGTGAGAAGTTGGCTCAAGGCATTTCAGCACAGAAGACAAAAGTGAATTTTGCTCCTGTGAGGGTGAGAGATTGAGGTCTTGCTGCTCTTACCATAAGAAAGGAAAGGCAGAGGCTGAAAGAGGGAGACAGACCTAAGGAGATACATGAGACTGCTTAAGAGATTATTCTTTTTGAAATAGTTGGAGTGTGACTGCTGGATGGAGACCAGCTAATAACCTCAATGGCTACCAGCCCACAAACCCCTCTTCCTCCTCCTCTGGCACCTTGCTGCCTTAGCCAATAGCCTGCTTTGCTTGTGTCTACAGCCCACCAGGTTAATGTGTGTAAATATCTTGCGATTATCACTTGATTATCTTTTCTCTAGATAGATGATCTTCAACATGTTGTAAGCATGCAACAAATTCTTGAAAGAAATAGCTGAAATAATAAAAACAACAAGCCATAAGAGCATACAATTTAAGACAACTATTATTTAATTGAAATGAGGTCCCATTACCTGTGTATGTGATGGTGGGAGGCCTTTTCTGCCATAGATGCCAACCAGAGCAGCCTTTCCTAAAGACACATTGAATTTCAGATGCACTGGGTGGTCGATGAACACCTGAGATCTCCAAAAGATACCAGGGGGGATCTTCTGTGTGGCTCGTCTGCCAACATCAATTTCTCCAGAGTCTATAAAACTGTCGTCTGGAAAGAAACTACTGGGCTTTCCTGCCAAAACACAGGAACAAAAATCTTGGATTAGCTTTAGATCTTACAAGTAATCCAGTCATACTGGTATCTCTGACACTGATCTTGAGAAACAGTCTATTAATGTCCTGAGGTCTTCCAAGTACTTTGTCTAGCCAATCCATACGATTATGGGAGACAAACTGGCAGGGTTATTCCTGGCTTCAGTAACTGTTTTGTTTAAAAACATGAACATGGGAAGAGCAACCTGAAGAAAAATGGCCCTTTGTTTAAATTGTAACATCAGAGAGTGTGCAATTACATTCTGAAGACAGAATAAATAATTTGACATTATATCCTAAATGAATATAAATTCACAGATGGAAAAGTCATTATTAAATTAGCAAAGAGAAGTGTAGGTAGACACGTGTCACAGAATGGAATGGTAGTGTGGAGAACAGCAACATGAACGATTGCCTAAGTGGGGAAAGGAAAATGTTTCTCTATTAAATTAATTCTTGACAGTAGTAACAGTATTTGAAATTTGTTCAACAGTCCAGATAAAATGGAGGAAATCATACCCTGCACTTCAGTAATATCTAGTAAGAAATATAAAAGGTTTTAATTTGGTTTCAATATAATCTGTAAAGTGTTTTATGATTATCCATCTTCTTTCAAAAGACAAGCAAATAGAGGCATCTGTTTCTTAAAGCAACCACGAGATTGGAGAGCCTGGATATCTGGATGGCAATCCATACGTGCCACAATGTCCAAGGGAGTCAGCAGGGAGATCAACGTCCCTGGAAAACACATCTGAGAAATTCCAGGTTAGAAATTCATACACTGACAGTTCTCAAAACTGGTGGCCACTTTGAAAAATTGGGACCTGAAGGAAACCCAGGGAATGAAGGGCAGAATGAAAAATAAGATCCCCAAATGTTGCCTTTTCAGCCTTTGCTATAAGCAGTGGCCACAGTTTCATCTGCAGTGCATAAAGATGATGAAGAAGGTAATTGCATAGCAAACAACCTTTATTTAAGGACACTTAGAATCATAGAATGGTTTGGGTTGGAAGGGACCTTAAAGATCATCTAGTAGACTTCTAGTTGAAAAGTATGCAGTAGTGTCAGCTGAAAGATTCTGGCCTTAGGGCAGAGAGCATCATGTCACCAACAAGGACTAATTATTAGTCTCATATTGTGAGATTTTTTTCTTCCAGAACTTACATTTGGGAAATGGGAAACAAAAATATCTTTTCCCACCCATCATGAATTCAAGTCAAATAGTCTTAGAATTTACTTATCCTGTTGAAAAGATGATTGGTAGAACAACCTTTATTTTATTGTTTCAAATTATAATATTTCCTTTAAAATCATACAGTATTAATTATATTATTTCCTTAAACTTCTCCATATACCATCTCAACATAAATACTCCAGAAGAAACACATGTAAATTGTTAGCTCTCTGTAAAATCCATATAGAAATTATATGCATATTAGCTATTAAAAAAAGAAGTCTCTGAAGATGTTTCTCTGTAGGATGGAGAATTTTTCTCCTTTTTTAAAAAAACCCCAAACTTATGTAAAACTTTTTAGCAGAAAAAATAAGACTAACACTTGATTTAAAGTTAACAACTGCTTAAGTAGACTGTTGGAGCAGGACTTGGTGGCATGTTTAATTTCTGTGCTATCTTGTGGCAAAGTTTTATGCACACCAGCACACTCTAAAAAGCAAAGGGTATATACATGTTCATAGAAAAAAAAGCTACTCGTAATTTTAGAAGAAGATCCTCATTTATCTTTATTGCATTTAAATAAATACAGGGGGGAAATCTGTCTTTTTATGCTTTTTTAGCAGATAATCAGAAGCAGCTTATGTAAATGGACATTCTTTCTGAATCATTTTGTTCACAGAGAGTACAATTGTACAATGAAAATCAACGAGCTTGATTCCAAAGGGATTACCTTATCAGTTGAATTGTTAATATTTATTTGGCATACTAAAATTACTTTTCACACTGTCAGGATTAAAGGAAACAGTTCCCATGTCTCCATGCAAAGTTTCTTATTCCATTATTGTAAGATGAAAAGATTCTGATTTCTATTTTAAAAAGTGCTAAAGACATCACATGTTTTGGTTGAAATGAAGAATATATTTTTCTCATTACTACTGACATGTTTTATAGATTCTTAGAAATTCATATGAAAACCTAAAGTATTTGATATGCACCCTGATTGTTCATTAATAAAGCTTGTAGGTTGGAATGAATCACGGGAGGTGAGAATTTCATATGATAGATGTTGCTATGCAATAGATATAACCTGGAGAAAATTCTGCCTGTACAGAGAGCAGCACTTGCTCATGCAAGCAAAAATGCTTCTGTGATTGCAAGAGACCATTTCACAGATATAATTGTTTGTACACACAATTACAAAGCTAATGTCTCCTCTTGGTGGATGGTTGTATGCCTGAGAAGCTGATATCCTAAGAGCTGCTATATCAAGTTGCCAGTGGTTGACATTTATCCTGATACAGAAGTCCAAAGAAAGGCTCTCTTCACCAGGCTGAATTCAGCCCCTGAAATCCATCCATGTTTCATCAATTTTTAACCTACTGTAGGATCAGGCCCTATGGACTGGATATTTCATAAAGTACAATAAGAAAGCCATTTCAGCTTCTAATCAGAAATTAGGTTTTAATCAGAATATTTGACTCCTTCAAATTAATTTCAGGTCTGAATTCTTAATTTGGCTTTCAATTACTTTCTTCTTTCCACACATTACCTTGAACTTTTAGTTGCTGTAGGAACTATTCCTAATTTATTTGGATATCAAAAGGAACTATTTAATTTCAGCCCTTAATGAATCTGCTTGTATTTTTGATAGCAAGGTACCCCAACTCATCAAAACACTTAAGAACACACTTATATTTATAGAACCACAGAATGGTTTGGGTTGGAAGGGACCTTAAAGATCATCCAGTTCCAACCTACATGCTTAGATGTGAGCATGTGATTAAGTGCTCACATCTGGAGCACAGCCACAGATGAGAAGGGATGACTATTACTGGGAATTGGCAAGACATTGGTAATGATTCATTCAGATCAGCTGTAAGGATATTCTAATACATTCCAGCCTATTTCATTGTGATCAAGAAGATCTTCAAATATCTTTCAATCCAGTTTTTAATTAATTGCAATTTCATACATTCTGGTTTAGAATAGCAGCCACACAACACTGCTAGTCCAGAATTAGTTGTGCAGTCACCTGATGGGGAGAGAGAGGCATTTTAAGGCTGGACAGTGTTACTCCTGCAATAAAGATGTTGTTCTGATGTGTTTTTTAGTCAGGACAAGACATTCTCCTCTAAAGCTGACAGATTCCCTAATATCTTGTCCTGGTTTTTAGCTGGGACAGAGCTGGGTTTCTTTTTAATAGCTAGAACAGCACTGGGTTTTGGTTTCAGCGTGGGATTTGTTAGGAGAGAAACGCTGAGAACACACCAGTGTTTGCATTTTTGTCACTGGAAGTTGAAGGACTTTGTGTTTTGTTAGTTTACAAGCACAAGATCTAAGGGGGACAAGGAGTATTTAAATTAAAAAGCTTGGTCAGTGGGTGGTGAGCAATTGCACTGTTTATCACTCATTTTCATATTTTATTACTATTATTATTAATATTTGAATATCATTATTATTTTAAGTTTTATTTTATTTCAATTATTAAATTGTTCTTATCTCAACCTACGAGTCTCCTTGCCCTTGCCCCCCAGTTCTCCCCCCTATCCCCTGGGTGGGGGGAAGTGAGTGAACGGCTGTTTGGCTGCTAGCCCAGTGCTAGCCAAGTTCTAGCCAAGTGAAACCAACACACGTCTATACAAAGCACTAACTTGAGGGATCTTCTAATAACATAACTAGTGTATTTCCAAGATTTCTCTTTTAACAGAGCTTTTTGGCAGCACTCAAAACTACTACTGATGTCACTGCAAGCATGGCTGAAAAAGAAATCAAGTGGAAGTCTTTCACTTGGGTGGCAGGTTTGGCTACATTCATTTATTTTAATTTTGACTTTTTAAAAGGAAATGTAAAGATCAAAATGTGATGTTTCAAAAATTAAACATATGGCAAATTAGAGGGGAAAAAAATGAAGAAGGATCTGTTGTGAAGTATTTTTGAATACAACAGCAGGGGTATCTGCAGCTTGCTGTACTGTCTAGTAAGGTTTGCTGAGAATAACCCACTTAACTGATTTTTCCTTGTAGGAACTTGATGTCAGACATCAGTTGCTAGTAAATACACTGTTTTAAGGAACACACATAATTATGGCCTTTATTTAGACTAATAAAGACAGATAAGCTCTTAAAGAAAAAAAATACTACAATTAGTTTAAATAAAACATGTAAATATAGGCTCTCTGCCAAAGTCTAGGGAACTCTGTGGAAACCTCTGAGTTCAATGAGTTGCCAGAACAGTAGCATTCTTCTTATCTCTTACCCACAAACCTTTTTCCCCCAAAATAATTACCAAAAATAGCCAATTACTTCAATTTTACTGAAAGTTGTTAACCTCCTATAAAGAAGCTTGACACACAAACAAAAAGAGCTTTCTGAAATTTTGAATTTCTCACTTCTCCAGCTAAGCCTTAGGAGGGATAAAACACCTCTCCTTTGCAGTGCTTACAGGTGCTTTTGGCAGTGCTGCCTCTATACAAAGCACAGCAAGATGTAAAGCTGATGGATAACACAGTGCTGAATTGACAGAACAACAGTTGCTTCTAATTTCAGTTAAAACTGCAGGCTGTCAACATGATGATACTTTGTGGAGATTGGACCTTTTATCTGGCTACTTTTGCAAAGAGATGTCCAACCCTGGGGTGCTAAAACTCACAGTGTAATAGCTCTTAGCAAATATTTTGCTCCTCAAAACACTGGTACTAGGTGGCAACAAAGAGGCAAACTCAATCATTTTGGTACTGTTGTAGAGAAAGCTTGATCCAGAGCTCCAGGAATCGTTTAATTTTCAAGACACATTTTTCTCCTACAAAAACAGCCACTTGAGGCAGGGTTTTCATGATGGCCTTCTGTAGCCTGTGAGATACAGTACAGATGGTTCCACCTTGAGAATGCCTTGTGTGGTGAGGGTTGCACACAGTTTTATTGCATTAGTGGACATCAGAAGAGTACGAAACTTAGAAACATATGGAAACAAGACTAATGACTACTAGATCTAGACGTGAAAGACTAGAAAAAAGCACCTGATGATGGGAGCATTGAGGGTAATGGGACATGAGATTGGATGGTTGGAGTTCAGAGGCAGACAGAAGACTCACAACATGGATACACACCAACCGTACCTTCACTGGTTCCTTTGCCTTTCCTGTCAGGTAACTCTAACCCTGTGCCCCCCGAAGGATATAAGGAGACGTCCGTTGGCACTGGCCAACTGCTGGCTGTGTCTTCCGTGATTTCATACATCTGCCCTTCCATCGGCTGCAGGTGCCAGTTTAGGCCAAACAGGTGCATGGCTGTGGTGAGCAATGAGAAAAGTCATCTTTTTCTGTATGGGAGAGTTTCAGAACTACAGGGGTGCTTCCTAAACCCTCACTTCACTGCCTTCACTAAAGTAGTGGCCATTGCTTTAGGATAAGAATGGGATTAATGGAATTAGACAGCCCCTGTTGCTTCTACCATACCAACTCCCTAAGTCTTTCCACCCACTTTAACTCATTTTAGATCACCTGTACCAATCCACTCTTCTTCTTCTGGTAGAACCACTCCTGATTTGTGGCCTACATGAAAGAATAACCAGGCACAGTGTTTCAGAAAGCTCCCAAAGCTGGGGTGACAATGCGGTGAACACAGAAATACAAGGAATATTATTTATCAACATACCAGTAAATCCCAGGAAACTGCACTCTGGTTTGTTGTGTTGTATCCATAACACATTATATAGGTTCATTTTAATTTTTTTTTACCCACCAATGAAACACAAAAGCTCTTATAAACATCTCTGGCAGTTTTTTTCCTGAATAAGACTGAGTAAAAACTAAGGTGATTTAAGACTTGTCTTGCACACACGCCTTTCTGCTCAGTACCACACACACAAGCAACCATGACTGAGCATTCCCTAGTCCAACTCAGCTTCTCCCATTCAGATCTAAGATACATCCTCAACATTTGAAAACAAGCAGCACCATTTAGATTTGTGTGATATCAGGGCGTAGCTCTCTGTAGGTTTTTGGGCCACGCAAACTCATCCAGTGTACAGGTGAATCTATTTCAAGGCATTTTACATACAGACTAGTGAAGTTAAGGAACAAGACAGAGTACTTAAAAAGCAAACACATGTATGAGGAGTAAAGAAAATTACATGCTTATACAACTAATACTTGCCCCTTGAAAATATAAAGCGAAAGAATGTGGCTTCCCATATCATAGAATGGTTTGGGTTGGAAGGGACCTTAAAGATCATCCAGTTCCAACCCCCCTGCCAGCAGCAGGGACACCTTCCACTAGACCAGGTTGCTCAAAGCCTCATCCAACCTGGCCTTCAACATTTCCAGGGAGGGGGCATCTACAACTTCCTTGGGCAACCTGTTCATTTCTTCCATCCCCAACATAACATTTTATACCCAATCAGTTTAGCTTCAGGTTCTACACAGCTAAATGATCTGATATTTGCTAAGCTTGGAATGCTATTTCTTTTTTTAGGGAACACCATTTCTTTTTTCAGGGAACACCTTGATATTTTACACTGTAATTTTCCCAAGAAACTATACAATTGCACTAGCATCACAGTCATTTAACATAAACAAAACCAGTAAAGAAACAGAGCATTTCCACTGCCTATAGCTCTCATTCACAAAGATACATCTGAGCTTGGCAAACACTGTCAGGGACAAGTGGTTAGTTTATTTAAACCTGTGCATCATGAACAATCTTTTCAAGAGGATTGAAAAGTAATTTGAGCAGTTCTCCAAAATTAGCATGTTTAGGCAATTTAGCAAAATCAGTGAGTTTATTTTCACTTCAGTCTCAATTAGGTCATCTATCATTTCCTAATGTGAATAAGCTTTCTTTGCAGTACTACATCACTCGAAAACATAATGAGAGCAAAACTCTCCTTTCACCATGTTAACAAGGACTGGATTTGTTAACAAAAATCTTAACCATTAAGAAAGAAAATACTCTCCTCAAACTCCCAAACAGCACAGCAAGGAAGGTCTCCCGAGGACCTGGACAAAACTCTAAACATTTTATATACAGGTACTTGTACCAAGAAGGAATGGTATCAACACAACTGGTAATTCAATGCTTTAGGCAGAGGGGCCAGTATGTTCATCTGAAAGGAGTATATGGCCTTGGCAGAGAAACTGTGCAAGGGAAGAGAGGAAATCAGACAGAGCAAGGAATCTGCATCAAGCATTTGGCATGGCTACGCTTGCATAATATCTTTGTGTTGCTACAGCCCTCGTCATCAGAGCACCACGGCACTTCATAGCTGTTAACCTCATAAAACCTCATCAGGTAGGAATCTGCTATTTCTGCTTCACAGAAAGGAAAAAGAGAAGTGCAGTAGATTGAAGGACTGACTCAGTTCACTTGTTTGGGTATTAAAATGTGATTGTGGTTTAATTCACTTCACTTACTCTATGCTCACAGGTTCACAAGCCCTAACAGGCATTTCATGCTCACTCCACCAGCGGATTTTGTGCTAAGCTCAGCACTGGATACTGCCTGAGAATGCTGTCCAGACTGGACCTCTTCATGGACCACAGTGTTACCCAGGTGCTGCTGGGCTGTTACAGAGCAAGGGGCTCAGATGACTTGAACATGTGCAAGTTCCCATGTTTAACCAGATGGATGTTTGTAGTTCCAAGCAGAATACAAACTACTGCTTGGTCCTCCAAACTCAGGCAATCCTAGGCAGCAAGCAGTCCAGATGCCTCTGCTGGCACAAAGTGCTTAATCCCAACTTCATTAATCAGATGTCTTCATATTACAATGACTTGCATGAGCTCATACTGGGCACCACTGGTTCAGGTAGGAATTGGGCCAGTGTTTTGTTTTGGGTTTTTTGTTTGTTGTTTTTCTTTCACTACACCATTTGACTTGCTCTGTCCTTTGGATATCACAGTCTAAGTGCCACACAAACTCTTAGGAACACATTGAAAGGCCACTGTTTCTCTTCTTCTCCTTAGGAGGAACTTGTTGCTTGTAGATCACAAAATCACAGAATCCCAGAATTGCCTTGATTGGAAAAGACCTTTAAGATCATTGAGTCCAATCATTAAGCTCACACTGACAAGTCCCCGACTAACCCATGTCCCTCAGCACTGTGTCTACATGACTCTTCAATCCCTCCAGGGATGGGGACTCCACCACTGCCCTGGGCAAACCCTTCCAATGCCTCAGAACCCTTTCAGTAAAGAAATTCTTCCTCACATCCCATCTTAACGGCCCTGGGTATTGAGGCCATTTCCTCTTGTCCTACCACTTGTTACTTGGTTGACCAGGTTGACCCCCACTTTTCTATACTCTCATGTAGTTGTAGAAAGTGAGAAGATGTCCCCTGAACCTCCTCTTTTCCAGACTAAACAATCCCAATTCCTTCATCTGCTCCTCATCAGACTTGTGCTCCAGACCCTTCACCAGCTTCATTGCCCTTCTCTGGACATGCTCCAGTACCTCCATGTCCTTCTTGGAGTGAGGGACCCAAAAATTCGAGGTGCACACTCATCAGTGCGAGAAAATGAAAAAAATATTTACTGCAAGAAAATGAAGGTGAAGAACTCAGTATTGTTTTTGGTCCAGTGGGAAAGCTATGAGAATTTCTTCCAGGCGTGCAAAATGCATTTAAAACCACCTCAAATGTCTTATGAAGGGAACATCTTGCTTCAGTGAAATGACAGAACTGGTAGTCTGGAAGTGATATGGCTTTTCTGCACATTGTCCATCTCCTTGAGCAAATGAAACAACCATTCTATGTCACCATTCATTCCTAAACATTTGCAAAGTGTCTTACAATGTCCCAGCATAGAAAATATGACAGAATTATCTGTGATGTAAGTACTGTGGAATCACACAGAGATAAAAGCCCTGCCTTAGTATCATTGTTGCTTTTGGTTCATAGATTTTGTTTAAAACAAAAAGCTTCTTGTGTACAATGATGTCATCATCACATAGATCACAGAATCATAAAATAGTTTGGTTTGGAAGGGCCATTTAAAGATCATCTGGTCCAACTCCCCTGCCATGGACAGGGACATCTTGCACTAGATTAGGTTGCTCAAAGCCTCACCAATCCACCCTTGAATGTTTCCAGACATGGGGCTTCCAGAACTTCTCTGGGCAACCTGTGCTAGTGTTCTACCATCCTCATTATAAAAAATTCAGGCCATGGTAAAAAGTCTCTCTCCATCTTTCTTATAAGCCCCCTTTAATTATTGAAAGGCTGTAAGAATGTCTCCAATGGTGACCCACAAGAATGAGATCTATGCACACCATTCATACAAAAGCACAAAAATCTGAGAAACACAGAATTATTTCAGAAGCATTTTGATTACTAAGTATCTTAAAAATAATTCAGAAAATAAGGTGCAAAAGTTTGGAGCTAGTGCTTTATCCAGGGTTTCTGATTTGATGTTTCTATGCACAAAATAAAGACCTAAAAATATTCCCACTCATAAGGCAAACAGAAATAATGCAATTTCTGCTGCAGGTAGGTAATAACCACAAAAGCGTTCCTGAAACTAGAACAAAGAGTCTGATTTCCTTTGGAAACACGCTCTGGTTGTAGGTATGTTATTAGGAAATCACCTGATTAAGTGTTTATCATCACTATCTTCCAAACAACAATAGTGTCTGACTGGCAAGCTGGTGGAAGATTCATCTTCTGCTTGCTCCTCCTAACTGCCACACTCATGCTAAGAATTCAGGTAGTAACAGCAGTGGATGTTTTGGGCCTCTACATCTCAATGGGATGTTTAAAACTGTTGATGCACTCCGTTGTTTAATGGTTTTAGGAGAGGCACAAATCAACCTTGTTCTGAACTAAATTGATGCAAAGATGCAAGGTAATAATTACGGAAAAACCCTGGAACCATGGATGAGAGGCACAATCATATACTTTGAAGTGTTAATGTTCCTAAAAGCAAAGTGAAGCTGTAAAAATAGTTTGAGATTCCTGATGTTCTCAGTCTCCAGGTCAATTGAACCCACTGTTGATATTTTCTCTGGCTTTTGCTTTTTTTCCCTCTGCTCAGCCAGATGCAAAATGTGTCTCACAAAGAGCAAATGCCCTCCTAAAAGCTTCCATGTCCTTCTCCTTCTCCCTTCCCAACATGATGCTCAGTAGATATTCAGATATTGAAGGCTCCCCATGTATTAAAAGAGCACAGTCCAATTAACAATCATTAAATTGTACCCTTCTGTAAAACACCATGCAGCTTTCACTGCCTAGGAAACCTCATGACATGCTCTTTGCA